AGCAGCAGCAGCAGCAGCAGGCGTCGCTGCAGGAGTGCGGCGGGGGGATGTTGTCGGGGCTCCCGCAGTCCTACTGCATCGTGGAGAAGTGGCGCGGCTTTGAGAGGATCCTGCCCAACAAGACCAAGATCCTGAGGCTCTGGGCGGCGTGGGGCGACGAGCAGGAGAACGTGCGCTTCGTGCTGGTGCGCAGCGAGGCGTCCTTGCCCAACACCGGACCCAGGAGCGCCGAAGCCAGGGTGGTGCCCAGCAGGGACAGCCCGGGCCGCCATGGCTTGGGGGTGACGGCCCGGGCCAGCCTGGCCTTGAGCCAGGAGCGGCAGCGGCGCGTGGTGAGGAAAGCCTTCCGCAAGCTGGCGAAGATCAACAAGAGGAAGGGTCAGCCGCAGCTCGAGGAGCCACCGGCCAAGGAGGCCCCGGCGGCCGAGCGGATGGAGACTCTGGTGCATCTCGTCCTCTCGCAGGACCACACGATCCGGCAGCAGGTCAAGCGGCTCCGCGACCTGGACCGGGAGATCGACCGCTACGAGGCGAGGATTCACTTCGACCGCATGAAGCGCCACGGGGTGAACTACGTGCAGGACACTTACTTGGTCGGAGGCGAGCCGGAGCCCCCCGCGGGAGAGCAGGAGGTGGAGTCGCCCGCGGCGGCGGCGGCGGCGGCGGCGGCAGGGGAGTCAGAAAAGCCGGCGGCCGGCGGCGAGGACTTGGAGGAGTACGCGCGGCAGTGCGAGCAGGTGGCTCGGCTGCAGGAGCAGTGGCGCCGCCAGGAGGAGCTGATCGAGCACTTGGCGGGGGAGATCCAGGAGGAGCTCAACGAGCGCTGGATGAGGCGGCGCCGGGAAGAGCTCGCGGCCGCCAAGGGCTCCAGCGCCAGTCTCTCCGAGACAGACTGCAACACGACCGAGCTGAGCGGCGGCGGCGGCGAGCTCCACGTGGAGCAGGAGCGCGTCAAGACGCAGCTGAGCACTAGCCTCTACATCGGGCTGCGCCTCAACACGGACTTGGACGCCGTGAAGTCGGACCTGGAATTTACGCAGCACGCCTGGGCCGAAAAAGAGCGCGAGCTCCAGCGCCTGCTCGATTCCCTGGAGTCCTTACATGTGGAGGAGGAGGAGGAGGAGG